TCCAAGGTGCTCACAGCTCTGCTTATAACGAGGCACAGGCTGGTACGAGAAAAGAGTATACATGAAAAGCAAGCTGGGTTCCACACAGGTCGGAGTTGCATGGATCACATCTTTACACCCCGCCAAATACTAAAGCGTCGCCAAACATTTGGCCGGCCAACGCTCGTTGTCTTCTTAGACATACCAGCCGCGTTTGACTTAGTCGACAGAGCTGCTCTCTGGAGTTGTCTATTGAGAAGGGGAGTGCCCGAAAAGTATGTCACCTTACTTCAAGCCATCTACTCCCAAACTTCGGGGCCAGTGCGGATGTACGGCGGACTTTCGCCCCCCTTTGGTATCACCAGTAAAGTGAAACATGACTGCCCAGCATCCCCCTTCTTGTTCAATTTCGCTATAGACGAAATCTCGGAGAAATGCGAAGCCAGCGACGTCGACCTGCTTCCAGGAGAACCGAGTTCGGGATTTGGAGTATACAGACAACATCACTGTAATCTGAGCATCCTCACATGCCGCCAAAAATGTTCTGTGTGGTTTAACGGATGAGTTCTCCTTGCGCGTCTCCGAAGCTCGGGTTGCTTTAGCCAATCTCCGCCATCTCTGGAGTCGAGATGATTTGAGTCGATCTCTGAAGGGCCGAGTTTACAATGCCACAGTGAGACCGGTTCTCCTCTATGACTGCGAGACTTGGCCTGTTCGCGCAAAGGATGTTGAGAGGCTGTCTGTTTTTGATCACCGCTGCCTTCGGAGCATTGCTGGTGTAAGATGGCAACACATCACACTAGGAATGAAGATATTCGACGAACGATATTCAGATTAGACAGATTTTGCCGGCCACTGAGCAGTATAATTTCCCTGCGAAGACTTCAAAGGCTTGGGCACGTTTTCCGCACGCCTACTCATCGCCTACCTCGCCATACCCTCTTCGCGCACGCAGAAGTCGGCTGGAAGCGGAAGCAAGGTGGCCAACCTATGACTTGGGCCAGGAGCATGAAGGAGCTAACATCAAAGTTAGCCGTGATCGGGCGCTCTCATGTCACTGTCTGGAGTGCGAAGGACCCCGAACACACATGGCTGGAAACGCTCTTGGATATGGCAATGAATCGTGCACACTGGTGGACTTGTTGTGACTCACTATTCCCATAAAGATCGTTTTTTGCCCTCTACGTATATTTATTGTATTTTCCATACGTTGTGACACTATGCCAATTGTACTATTGGCCGTGTTGAATATATATTGAATACATACTTTTATTCGCTCGAATGGCGTTGGACCCATAAGTACTGTACTTTGTTATCCATCCTCCAACGGGTTGGCAGTACAGATAGTGAAAATCTGCTAACAAAACAACCAAATGCTCCACTGCGTGTGCGTTTGGATCGTTCCCTGTTCGCGTACCAGAACATGCCAAACCAGACAACCGGTAGAAGCCCGGCAGAGTTAATGTCCGGTCGATGCTTGTGTACATGGTTAGATTTATTGCATCCGACCATGGAGTCGCAATTTACTGAAAGGCAACAACGGGCAAAGGAACATTTTGATAATTGCAGCAAGGACAGAATTGTGACAGTCAGACCCAATTTACGTCCGTTCACCTACACTCTGAGTGGGAGCAGGCTGTTGTAAAAACAATCAACGGACAGATCGTAGAAGCAGAAAATGAGGATGGCCGGATCGTGCGACGTCATTTGGACCATGTGCGGCCAAAACTGTCGAACCAGATCTGCCATCCCAATCACCGACCGATATGAGGATGACTGACGCACAATCAGTAACTGAACCTTTATTACGTCGTTCTAATCGTCAACGGCGAACAGTCTAGCGCTTCCACGCCGATTAGCCCGAACCAAAGTGAGGAGGGATGATACGGTCATTGGTCGTGCCACATCCATCCACTGCTATTCAACCGGAAAGCCTGCTGCTGTATGCCAATTAATCAGCGTATGCCCTTGATTCCCTTCGAACTGGAACTCGTTCTCGCGTTCATGTGACTCTCGTGGCAGACAGTTTTTACGTGATCACATGTGTTTAGAGTGTACCGCTTCACGCTTGCTACTAACGTTTCCCTACTACCATACCGGTGTACTGATTTCGCTTGGGTGTATTACTTACGTGCTTTGCAGCTTGAAAGTCAAAATTTTGTTGCTGGACTGGACCGATACGCCACCGGTTCTACCTATGAGCGAACAGACGTTGGAAGTGGTGAATCGACTCACTTAGCTTGGTAGCTGTGGTGGTCACATCACTAAGAGACTCAGCTATCTATGAAGACAGTGGAATACCAGCCTGCTACCGAAGGGTAAGATGATAACGCTGCGATAAGGCCGTTGTTACTGAATGGATCATAGAGCAGGCCAGTTCCCGGTAGACATTGGACGCTTGGCCGTCTAAGATTACCAGTGCCTGTGGAACATTGCTTACACCTGGTGTGAACAACGGGTGAGCATTTTCTGATGTCCGTCTGTTGTTTTTGGTATGAAGCCTTCTGGTGCCTCACCTAGGTGATTACTAAACCTCAACCACTTAGGTTGGCTTTGCCATGCCCTCCGTAGGTCTGTTGACTGAGTTGCTCGGGATACATTAAACGCCATCGCTACGCCAAGTTAGGCAAAGGCACGAGGCGACTAGTCAATGAGCTGGCATACAGACATGGAGAAACTGACTGAGAGACTTGGTTAGTTTTAATGTATTCGTCCCAGCAGCTCACAAGCTACATAGTTCAACCACAATCCGGAAAAGCACCAGACGCGTTTCGCCACCTTGGGACTCGTCAGTGGTGCGCATTCCCTCGGTCCCCTCTAGGTTAAGCTTGTGCGTGTCATGTTAATGGGTGGGAATGCCGGGATTGTCTTCAACAATGGTTTGAGACATGGCGAAGTCGCGCTGTCAGCGATGCTATTGCATTTGATTACCTTTCTATCTCGGACAATAGTCCTAAGGATTGCAAGTCTGCCTTGTAATCCAACGGCGCGAGGTCGAGTCTACATAAGGCCCGGGCGACTTTCGCGGTAGCCTTGGCTCGCGTGCGACCGTTAGTGGTTGCGCGGTAGCGAAGCGTCGGTACTGCGTACCGGCGTACCCATGATGTCTTTCTTCTACGCTATTCCGATTAGTTTTGCGCACTGCTATCATGATTTCATTTTTATTGTCTTTTGTTTTCACGCAACCGCATATTTTGCTGTTGTTATTCATTTCTTATCTGGTGACCTGAGTCATGGCAACCGGAGCCGCCGCAGTTCGATGCCCGGATCATAGTCGTGTAACTGAAGAGAACTAAGTTCATGGAGTGGATTTGAACCAAACCGAACGCGCACTTTGGTCAATTGCTTCATGCCCTTATACCACCCAATCGACCGGCCACCTTGCAGTTTCACCATACTAGGTGGCGTGACAGCATACAAAGCACGCAGAGGAGGGTGATCAACGTGCGTGCGGAGGATATGACCTGGCCAAAGTAAGGGCATCAAATTTGACAGAATCCAGTGTGGCACCAGGTAGTTTATTGCCAAACATTCACTGGCAGACTGGCAGTACGTTCTCACTCGGTGTCCCCGCAAATGTAACGCTTCGCAAGTACGTACAGACTATTTAGCAATACATTATGCGTCAAGAGGGAGATCGAGATTAGAGGGGAAAGATAAGTGGGTTGACGAGGGACAAAGAAACTCACAACATAAACGAGACAGGTCGGCTCTTTGCCATGTCAACTTGTGTATCCAACCAAACGTGTTCATCGTCCTTCGGACCCCAAGCAGGTAGTCGGCACACACCAACCGACGCCAACTTCGAAATGAGCGATTTCATTCCTCTTGACCAAGTCATCGCTTGGCCATCTCTCCTCTTCTTCCATCCAGAACCCCGAAGCGCGCAAACAACGCACCTCGCATGAGTCTGTGTGGGCTGGCATGCGCAACACGTGACCTAGCCATCGGAGTCTAGTACGTGACATAATGGTGCTGAGCGGTTCACTCGCTCTTCATGCAACAAATACATAACGCGGAACACGCTCATTACTCAGGCGATGCTCCCACCAGATATAAACTAAGCTGCGAAGACAGCGATCATCGAACGTGACTAGCTACTTTATATCTGTCGACTTGATGGGTAGGGTTGCACGAACGACTGCATTGTAAACTCTGTCCTTCAGGGCGAGAGTGATATTGCGAAGGCGCCACAGATGGCGGAGATTTGCAAAAGCGCCTCGAGCGCTGATATAGCTGCCTAGACACTTGAATTTCTCGACGAGTTCTAGCTGATCCACACCAAGGGGCAACGCAGGGGTGGGTCCCTGCCAATCTTGTTGTGCACTGTGGCTGAATTTCGAGCGACGCGAATCACTGACGACCTCTGCTCAACCACCGATGTCAGAGCAGTTCAAATTGGTTTCCATCTGATCACAAACCAACGAGCGTCCCAGGGAACAAAAGTTAATCCCCTGAAAAGTACCACCTCCTGTGGTTCAATGAAACAGGTAGAAGCACAAATAAAAGTGCATTAGTAAGACGAAGTTTGATGAGAATGCTTGGTGCGACAATGTTAGGGGAAGAGAAAAAGGGGAGTAGAAATGATGTTGGACAGGATCAGGTGAACACACACCTTAGGATCGCAAGATCGACACAAATCGCTGAAAATAGGTTAGGTGCCATTTGAACAAAGTGAAGGGAAAATGCATATAACTAACGACGAAAGCAAAATCCATACACAAAAACTGGTAAGACCATGGTAACATAGAATGGAAATCGCACGAGGACACAAATACAGTAGTCAACCTGACAGAGATGCAGGTGGACAATGAGCATGAAAAAAAGTGGTGTCGTGAATGAGGCGAGCAATCGAGCCATTACAAACACGGTGCCGTCATGCTACCTGTGGGCCAAAGAAGGAGCTGGGTAAGGTGATATTAGAATTAGGAAGCTAGAAAGGCTACAGTTTGATGACGCCAACAGAGGAATAGGAAAAGGGATGAAGAAATCAATAAAGAAATGGCAGATGACGGGCTTACCGAGGATTGTTGTTAGGGAGGCGGTGAGATCGAAATGGTGCAGCATAAGTTGTTTGTCCGCGTCAAAACCGATGATGCGAGCAATTCCCCGACTCGTATCGTCCACTAAAGCAGTCGAAGCGTTCGAGTCGCCTTCCACCGATGCAGCTGCATGACTACCCGACACTGCAAGCCACGTGATGAGTGGAGTATCAGGAGTTGACGGTTGCAGTGTGATTGCATAAAGACAGGGGGTCTCTGGAGGAAGTGATAAACTAAATAAAAGAATAAAGGTGCAGAAGGAGGTGCACAATTGGAACAATGAGAAGAAGGAATGCAATCAGTGGTTACAAATCAGAATGTGACTATTTCCTATCAAACAAGATGCGGAACAGTGGGTTACTTGTTCCAATACATGCGGTACAACAGGATGGCGATTTAGATAGAACAGATACTCGGTACGGATCTAAGTGCCAACACCTCTCTGTGGAAACTCAATGGCGGGATGGAACTGACTAGCTGTCCGCATGTGACATCATCAGAACGATCTCAATTTCACTAGGCAAACGAAGGATTAGAACGCAAGAAAAAATAGCAATCCACATGCATGTGGAATGAAACCAATAAAACAAGTTTCGGTGTTGATGTTTATCAAGGTCGTGTATGATGATACGTTTTTGGTTAATAAATACTGACCATGAATGGTTGCATGGTTCGATTGACAATGGAAGTGAATGTCAGACACATTACACAAAAGTGTGCGTATATAACAGGGTGCAGTGTGGCGATAAGGATATGAATGCTTGCCGGAGCCGCCATGTAACACGAGACAGTGATCTCGATCACACAGTAATTAGATTGCGTTAATGTAACTCTTCAACATCCTAGGGATCATCGTAAGAGACCACAAGAGAATCAGTGTGCAATGTTGATGTATTAGCGGAAGACTCGACCTCCAGCAAGAGGTACTTTCGGGTGGAGCTTGCGCGAACCATCGATTAACAAGTACCGATTAGCTCAGGCGCATGGAACCAGACTCCAAATTCAGTGCGTGGTGGACAGCATCAACAATCTGTGAGACCCCCGCTCAAAATACTAGGTCATGTGCCATCCGTAAAGGCATGGCTATGCAAGGATAATTACGGTGAAATCAGACGACGTTAGACGTGATAAGCGAAATGACCAAAAACATTCTCCAAAGGAGACAGCAATAAACGAATATTCTCTGGACCGCCAGTTTCCTTATGGCTAGACCCTTTTATACAATCGTTAGCTAGGAGGACGTAAACAACGACTGCTATTCATATCAAGGTTCATCATTGCACTCGAAATCCTAGAGACTCAAACATCCATGGCCAAAGTGAAAGAAGCAGTGCACCTTAGGAAACGATTCGTGCTCCTTAGCGGTAGGGACATGTACGGCAGTGGGTGATGAAACACACAACAGCACACGACACCACCACATGGGCCAACACTGCCACCAAAGCTCAGGGGAATAAATCGTTGACTGGACATTTGGTGATTATGAAAGCGCACCTAGAGAAAAACGTGCAGCGGAAACAAAACAACCTATCAGTGATATTCCGAATGGTAGTGGCTCTATGACTGAGCTTAACTGTGACAAAACAAGTGGAAGCTCTTCAAACCTTCCTGATAAGAAGGAACACGATCGGGGTTCACAACAAACGAATATGGGAAGCTCACGCTGCTGCTGGTCATACCTGTTTAGAAACTTTCCGGATTGAAGAAGGAAACAATGGCATCGCCCACCGCCAGCGGTCCCAAGCCAAACACGACCCTTCGAGTCCCGGTGGTGCGTCTCGGCGGCCATGACCATGGGACCAGTTGCGGAGTCACCGTCAGGTAAGGGAAGCAGAGGAAAGGTAAGTTGAGTGGAAGCGCTGGAGGGGTTTGTCAGTACATCCGAGAAGTTGAAGTAGGTTAGTTGGCTCGTGCCACTAGGATTCGACAGACTGATGCATACCAAAGTGTTGATAGACCTGCGTTAAAACAATAATGGAAGTGTGCCTCAAAGGGCGTGCGAATAAAGTAAACATTGGACAGACGCGCAACATCGAACGTACATAAATGAGAGTTAGAAACAAAACGTGATCCAAATTCTCACGAGACTCTGAAAGTCGCTGTGACAAAAGTGAGGTTGGGGGAACAGGTAACATACACAAGAAAGTTAGCTGCTAGGGGAGCGTCGATGACGCTGAAGCGGGCATGAATCCAGGCATTCTTCTCCTCTTCCGTAGCAGTCGATTCAGGGAGTGGACTGATTGGAGAACCCCGAAGCACGACAAATCGACCATCATTTGAGGACAATATAACGTAGGCTGAGGGCACTGTTGAAGAAAAAACGAGCGCAAAGTGAGATAGTTATTCTCAATGAATCGGTGAGGGAGTATATTCTGGCTAATTTGGGAGACCTCGTTGATTGGCCTAACTGCTGTCTGTGTCTGCCATGTTGGATTTAACCTACAGTAAGCTAACTTGTGTGGAGTAGTCACGTGACCACAGGCGCAACTGGCATCAGCGACCAACCTCGACAAGCGCAACTGTCTAGACTTAACTGAACTATCATCAGCCGGAACTATTACTGGACCGATGGCGCAAAACGATAAACTGGTTGGTTTGTATGGCATTCGCTTATTGTTGCGCTGAAATTTTCCCTTTGCTCAAGCATCTAAGACCTTTTTGGGTTGTTTATTTTCATCAAGCTTCCCTAGCCACTTCACCTAACCTTCCCATAAGTACAGTTCACTTTATTATGGCACGCACAAGGATTAGCCTCGCTCAACAAACGAAAAGTAATGTTTCATACACCGCCCGAACATAGCCAACGAAAACTGAGGCCCCAACTCAACTGCGAGTCAGTCCTGATCCAACCACCATTATTCTTTCAGAACGCAGTGATAAGGCCAACTCCCTGGAATCCCAACTCTTTAAAATGAGAAAAATAGTGACCATTGTCAAACCACTCAGAGATCACCTGGCTTCATTAGACTATCTCAGTAACCCATGGGAAAGTCTTGATCCAGCCCAAATGGGAAAGGCAGGTCAGTTAATCGCATCAACTGAGTGTGAGGTACATGAAGGAATGCGTAAACTGAAAAATGTGATCGTTTTTACCATTCCTGATAAACTTAGTTTGGGTGAATTTAAAATGCAGTACTTAGGGCTGCAACATGTCCGAGATCGAATGCAATGCATTCGTCTGAGAAAGAAAACATCAAAGCACTGCTGCCCGATAATTTTTAAATTTTCAACTGAGGAATCCGTGAAGCGAGTGTTGAGTAATCAACTCACCATGGCCCATGAGACCGAGTTCAAAGACCTATTGAGTAAACCAGATCGAACGCATTTACAAAGGTCCCTTAATGATCTTTTGTCACCATCATCAGCTCAAATTGGTTCAAGTGTTCTCAGGTCAATGTTCAAAAGATAACTTATCTAATGTGACAACTTGGCACTTTGAAGTGGATCTCGACAGCACACCTCATATGATAAGGACCTCGATCACAACAGTTCCTGACGACACCGCAATGTCACCTAGGCAAACTCCCACCAACTACTACCATTCGCCTGTGGGCCAACCGAAATGAATTCACCGCTTATAAGTGATGAAGTAATTCCTAAACACTGGGAAGAGCTGAAAATCAAGGGCCCTATAGCAGTGTCGCAAGCTGAACTCAAAGTCCGAAGGAACCCATGGGCGGTCAAACCAATAATGTAGAAAACCCACAGCCACTCATCGGTTCCAATCTGTAAGGACACGGTAGAAACTAACAAGCTTCACCAACATACATCGCACAAACACTACATAAAGCGACACCCTGCGCCGAGAAAAAACCAGAAACAAATTTCTTTTGGATACCCTCGGCATAATTCACTCCTAGGCCACAAAATCAGACACCGTAATAATGACAGAATAAACTGTGTCACGAGGACAAGGCCACCTCCCAACCCGTATCATGTGTGCAGCCGTTACCAAAAAAATTCCTCAGTATGACCCTTTTTTACTACAGGAGGGAATGGAGCCGCGGTCATTCCCTCCCCTAACATACCCGGCAGAAGCCAACTACCTGTTCCCACTGTTCCTGCAATTTTTGCAGATGACTCGGCTAGCCAAGGACCACGCCAACTACAAATTAGACTTGCTCCCTCAACTAGATTCCTGTCTACAGAAATATCGGCATTCACAAATGAAATAGTACCCATAGCACCACGCCTGCTAAGAATAGACTCTAGTCCACTATTCCCATTCATATCTCCTGTGTCCATAGTACCTGACAACAACAACAACGCGCATAACAATGAACCGCAACACGATGACCGCACACCCAATAATCCGTTTTCTGTACTTCTACTTAATGCTAGATCTACTAATAACAAACTGTACTTTCTAGACATGCTTGTGCATATCAAGGACCCACAAGCAATCCCCGATACTGAAACATGGTGCTCCCCCGAGACATTGGATTCTACCCTAATGATTCCTAATTATCAGCAGAGGTGAAGGAGGTGGATGCATGATATATATACACCGTACTTCTCGATCATCCACAGCTAACAAATGTTCCCGAATCTCTTTGGCTGTCCGTCTCAGGAATCGGTTCGCACATACTACTTGAAGATGTTTACAACCAGCCAACTGTGTCAACCGCACGTGTCACCACCATCAGTTCGGCTTTCGAATTTGCTGATGAAATGGCACACAGACAGAAGATAATTGCTGGTGATTTTAACCGACCAAAGACCAGTTGGTGCTCCCAAGCATCCTCGTCTACACATACAGCTTTCCTTTCCTCTCTCAGAATTGGTGGGTGAATAAAATAGGTTACTGAACCAACAAGAGCGACTAGTATACACGATCTGATATTTACTTTGGTCACAAATGCACAAACAGTATTAAATAAACTATCTGGTGGCGACAGTATGAATTCACGATTCAGTTTCTGCGCAATATGCAACATATAGGTTGAACTGGAAGCAATTCCAACGACTAGTCCGATCATTCGATTGAGACGCAGTCTTCATCTCTAACAATGTGTGTGCACTGCCGTGGACTATTTATACCATCGGGTCAATCAGACAATTGCTGTCCTTACTCCCCAAGACAAGAGGAGTACACGTGTCCACGAAGACGCAATCGTACGTTCAGTCAACCGGAAACACAGAAGACTAATTGCTGGATACATAAAAACTCGAAATTTCACCTTGCTCTTACAGTTGCACATCATTGATAGGGTCAAGCACATACAGTTGACGAGCTGGATCTACGAAGAACAGATAGCATTACGAATGACATGTATAACGAACGAACGTGTTAAAATTCTGCGTCACAGAACTAAGTATCACTACTCCTTGATTAATGAACTGGTCAATGCAGACGGACAGTTCCCTCATGATCCAGCTGACATCTGCAAAGGGTTTAGATCATTTCGCTACCTCCATGAGTCAACCTGCCGAGCTCAGCGAACAATCAGCCAATCAACTAAACAACCTGAGCTACCAACATTTGCTTCTATATCGTAGCTATAGTCATATCTGAGCGGCCGTTCGCAGGTAGTTACCATAGCCGGCCACCATTCTTCACCACGTCCAATCACTAGTGGTGTAATCGAAGGGAGTATATTTTGTCCGTTACAGTTCTTGCTCTATGTCAAGGAGATCAGTGCGGTTATCAGACATGGCATGCCTTTCCTATTTGCAGACGACATAAAGATAGTCTACAAATTACGAAGAGTTGAACTGCAAGATACACTACTGCTCATACAGGAAGGCCTCCACTCCCTTGAGAAATGGTGGAACACCTGGATGATGAAGTTCTTGGCGAAAACAGCTAGCATCATGCATCGCGGCTATTCGATATCTGAGGGATCAATTACACTCAACGACAAACAGTTTTGCGTACAGCTGTCTACCCGCGACCTCGGAATCCGGTATCCTTGCACTTTCAACTTTTCTGAACAGGTGGAATACCAGCTGACTAGTGCCCGAAAACTAATGGCAAATACACTGTACAAGATCCAAATAACCCCAAGCAGAGTAGAACTCTTCAAAATCCTCACTATCCCCATTTTGGAATATTGCAGTATCAGCTATCCGATCTAACTCGTCAGATTCACTGTCATGTGAAATAGCCTACCAGCCACAATCAGGTCTTGCACAAATGCAAGAGCATTCCACATTCAGCTTAGCAAATTCCTTGAGCAGAACGCGATAATGACCACATTTCCATCGGGTAAATCACCACACGAGTTCTTTCAGGATGGACCAAGGAATATATACTCAATGATTAAAGATGGTATAAAGAACTCAGCAACAACAAAAGTTACGTGATTCCAAATTATTTTGATATCATATTACATATTTCACTCATGCATGAGCATGATAATTATTGTACCCATGATCTGTCCACAATCCAGGGACAGCTTCTAGTACAACCCGAAAATATACATACTATTATTAGTACTATTCAAGCAACAGGATTACACCCTGCATGTCAGTGCACTGACGATGCACCCCAGCATGGTTACAGAACGTACGCAAACAAAATTCCCAATTTTGGGCGAACAAATGAAAAAGCTTATCATGTTAGGTGGTAGCAGCCGTCACAAACGGTTAATTCCCTTAAGTCGCCGACTCATTAGCATAATGTGATGGGTTTGGATCCAGCAGAATCCGACGGATGTGCGCTACTGACGGGTATCAATAGAAAGGAACCGCCGTTTAGCGTTTTCCTGGCTGTGTGGTGGCTATCTGACTGAGACAAGCAGTGATGAACCTTAGCAAAAAGTGATTCCACCGTTCAAGTAATGCTAATCAAATGGAGATTTGCTGGTTTTCATTCAAAGTTCCCTGAACTACAAGTCCTAATACACCGAGCAGATGATAACAACAGAAAAGAGAACTACCATGCCGCAACCGAAAAACACCTACGGAATGATGGCCAGAATACTTAACTACCAGTAAGGAGATATCCCTCAAAAGCAAAAGCCAGAAGTAAACGAAGTAGCAAATCATGAAGATGTAAGGAACTGAAAAGAACAACTTGGGTAAATTGGGAAGGAAATTACCAACAAGGGTATACGGAATTGCGAAAGACGCTGTGCGTCGTGATTGTCTCCAGCACATGTGGATAAAGATGGACAAAGTTTGGGTTGGATTAAAACAGAGATCATAGCTCAAAGAGCAACAGATCATGGAAAGTGTTTCTTGAGGCTTCGTGATACAGGAGGAACTCAGTCACGGAATTGTCAGGCAATAAAATACTCAGTCTTATGAGTGCACAAACATCAGAACATGTAGGAATGCGTAACCATCTGACATCAGCTAACGTGCGGTTGGTACAAGGCGTCTAGTTGGAAACCCACAGGTCACCGTGTCGAATCCGCGTGGGTGGAAGCGACCTAGCAGCAACTCTATGCCGCTCGCGGCAACTGGCGATCGCGTGGCAGTGAAGCGTCGATACGACGCACCATCATACCGCTGATGTCGCTTTGCCACTTTCATTGCCTGATGATATAATGTATGTATCCACACTTCTAAGAATACACGGAATCACAAAATCGGGCGGATTTCTCAGTGAATAAAATAACTATGGTCGGTGTAGGATGGCGCAACAGTCGGGGCGGGGGGACCGTAGTTGGGTTGGAAACAAAGCCAAAGCCTAAGCCGAACAGGGTTTGCCCGTTTCACCCACAAATCCAGGTAACTCCTATTGTGCCTGCTCGACACTTTTAAAGGTATGACGCGTTAGTCGGAGCCAGTAGCGAGCTTGATTATATTTCCTACCCGGGCTGTGTATTTAGTGCTGTGAAGCAAGACTGAGTACAACGCGAGGCAGTAAAAGCCATAAGCCGTCCAGCCGGTGCCGCTTTAACTTCGTGAGATAACTATACCTTTTCTCGGCCAAGTGCATAAATAACAATTCCAAATTCACCCTTAAGGAAATCAAGTTCCTTCATAAATCTCACAAGATCGCCCTTAACGTTATCAGCTTGCATCCAACGGGCGCAAACATTCTTAAATAATGCGTACTGTTCGTTGGGTAACCAATCCCAAATCAGTCGATAGCATAACAGTGCAGTACACAGGGTGGGATATATTTGGTTGATTTGAGATTACACTCTAGGATAGTTCGCATTCGTTGGATGCAACTTGATTGATCTTGAGAGATCAATGGAGGAACATGATTTCCTTAAGGATGAATTGGAAAGCGCTATGGATGCAAGGGGCTGAGAAAAACATAGTTGACCGTGACTGTCGCTCATAAGCTCAATGCGTTTTGACTGAATGTTAAATTAAAATATTCAGTTGTAAAACTACGTCCACCTTCACCCTGTTTTTAATTCTGTTTACTGGTGGCATCATGGTTGTTTGGCGTCGGAACATAATCATAACGGATAGTTTGCTGTTGATGATGATGGTGCATTCTTCTGAAGCAATTACGGGTGTGGGAACAATGCCGTGAAACTCTCTAATAAAGGATGCTCCATTATAGCGCCAGCAGTTGCTTAATCACATCAACAATGAAAGTTAACCCCAGGCCTTGATGGAATGCAAGCTTACATGAAACGGTTAGATAAACGTCCTTGTCGAAATCATAAAAAGCACGCATTTTGGGCCGGATGTAAAAATGACGGCCGGAAGTCCAGAAGAAATTAGTAGCTCTGTTCGTTCATCTAAGCCATGCAAAGAGTGCGCATTGATGTGATTAAAGAGTACATGTACTTTAAAGGTGTATTGTAAATGAACATACACAACGGCTTTGGAAAACTGGTAGCTCGGGTTGATAATTCAGTTGCCCGTTTGTTCGCCGAGCTGCGAAATTTGTTTGCAAACGTTTCACCGCCATGTGAGGCAGCATCATCAGTGCGTCGAGATGTGGAGTGTAATCTCGCTGATTGAATTGTCAGCCCGAGATCGGCGTGCAGGTGACTTTTCGAAAGTGACGGCTTCGATCTGTGTCCCGTGATCTCAACCTATTTCCCCGTGGCGGAGATCGTCGCTTGGGTTGTTCCTGGAAGTGTGGTTCTCAACAATAGACTCGATCAACATGCATATCGAGATTGACCCAGTTTACCAACCCCTCTGACAGAGAGAACTTAGAGAAATTATGAGATGTCGCTTGAATAGGAACAACCCAGGCGACGACCTCCGCCACGGGGAAATGGGTTGAGATCACGGGACACAGATCGAAGCCGTCACTTTCGAAAAGTCACCTGCACGCCGATCACGGGCCGACAATTCAATCAGCGAGATTACACTCCACATCTCGACGCACTGATGATGCCACCTCGCATGGCGGTGAAACGTTTGCAAACAAAGTTCGCAGCTCGGCGAACAAATAAACAACTGAATACACAACGGCTGATTGATATATGGCGTTGACAAGAAGTGTTGGTCATTATGGCGAACTAAACGACTGAAACGCGAACTCCAAATTTAGGTTCAGCGAACTGGAGAGAGTTCAATGTAATAGTGTCTAGTGGCCTAAAATCCGTGAAGCACGTGGCGTAAGCTTGATTACTGTAGTTAAAAGCAGCTCGCTATTGATCACTAAGTCGTGAGCACAAAAAAACCCGGATGAGGACGAGGCCTTTGCTATTGAGTGAAGCATAAACTTCATGGCGTCATGATAAGAGCATCAATCCCGAAATGTGAAGTTCCGAGTTTTACTCCAACCTCCAGGTACCTCTGCATGAAGGGTGTACATAAGGAAGCGAGCACCTCCAAAGAAGTCAACATGTGGGAGCCATCGATCGAGTTAACTGAGGTCTAATAAAAAATGAATCGTGATGCAAACTGGGTTTGCCTAAGATAACCGAAACACAGTGAGGGCATTTGATTCGCATTTAGTAAGAAGTGGGAGTTCACTTAAAAAACCAAGGTCCCTGTTAAGAATGGCAGCCAAATTTTGGTTAGGCATTCCCCAAAACATGTAGTGAACACCAAAGTAGTGTAACAGTCCAAAACATACCTGGACTTACATTCATAATAATAGTAACGGGTATAATTCGTTTTAAGTGAAAAGCTGCGCCCATATGTAGCATAGATCAAATATGTACAGGTAGTAGGATGTTCTTATATGGGTAATATGAAGTTATGGCGGATAAAAGACAACGGTATATTCATCGAAAATGAGAGGTACAGTCCAACTGGATAGTACGGTTCTTAGTGTACGGCAGAATCGCAAGGAGCAGAGGTTACATTTTTCGAATTTTCCAAAACAGGTCTCAAGCTTCTAGCGGACATGACTATTTGGTCGGATAGATCCTTCGGGAAGATTATGAGGATTATAAAAAATAATAAGTGTAGCTAAATTAAACGTATAAGTGAAATAATACGGCCATCCGTGGAACCGTCTCCTGGGGATCTGCTTCCATGCGGGTTATTCTCTTGAGGGGTTTTATCCGCAATTCAATTCCCCATCTTGCTATGTGCCAGTGTGACTTTTAAAGCAGGTAAGCCATCCGTTATGTAACTCATCATTAGGGCTGTTTTTCTGTGTATATTGTGTGGACAATCAAGCCACCTAGCCCGTACCATCAACTGGTTTTTTGAGTAAAGCACTATTTTATCGCCAGGGGAACCAATGACAATGGACATAAGTATTAGCATTAGAAACTTTAATTCATCACCTCAGGAAATCGATCATGGCAAGTATTCGATTCAAAAGACGATTGGCAAATGACGGTACACAATTGTGAGCATTGTTATTTTGAGCCAGACATTTTTAAACGTTACCTGAGAGGCAACAAATGATAGGCGCTTCGTAAATTCTTTGAAAATATTTAGATAAAGATGTGCGGAGTGAATTTTCACTTCCTCTCATGACACCGTGTTTGGCATTCAGTAAAAAAATTAAAAGCGAGTTTCCCGATCACAGATGTTCAAACCAATAGTACGACTTGAATCAGGCTATGTACGAAATATTAGAACAAGAAAACAAAAGGACAAGTTGGATAACCGAGTACTCACATATGGAATTGGAAATATGAGTGGGTTCCCATTGAAAAACAACTGACGCTGCCTTGTCGGAAGGTGTGCACAGGGATGGAGACGACAAAAGTGGAGCTGTAGGCGAAGTAGATGAAAAAGCGTTGGCGAATTAACGCGAATAAAGTAAGAGGAAAATGTTAGGGAATAAACTGGGTCACTCGTTAGACCCAGTCCAAATTATGTTGTTTGACCCTATACACATGTTTCTAGCAGGAGATGGATGTGTAATGCTTCCGCATAGCATCTGGCAGTAAAGAACACTTCTCTTGCCATACCCGAATATCATAGTAAGACCTCTATATTACAGGTTGATTTCGTGTCAAGCCCCGAAACTATTCTGGGTTGAAGTGACTGTTAGCAAACCACCTCTGGACGTGAACAGAAATCGTAAACATCTGAGGTCACTAGAGGAGCATCAGGAGAAATCTATAAACTAACGAGACTGACTTGTGCTAGAGGCAAAGCACCGCACAAGTTAAGCAACGTACCTACCCAAAGAGGGTTGGTGAGATTGGCGCTTCAATTGTTTTGCCAGTATACCATAATGGCCTTGAATCGTGGTCCAAGGAAAAAAACGAACAGATACGTGATGGAACTAACTATGGATCGAAATGTTGTAAGCAGAACCACTGTTGATAGTGTTGAGTCAGAGAGAACCGACCGACCCACTAACGCACGGCGTGGGCGGTAGAAGCGAGGGCTGCGTGCAGTATAAACCGAATTGTAATCGTGGTGCTAGAATCGTAGTTTATAAAAACAATACAGTAGACCTCGGAACAAGTGAAACGACTCGCAAAACAGGACAATGGTTAATTTACAAATCCTTCAAGTAAGTGAAATGTTACAAATGTGGTACAGTAAAACAGCTAACGTTAAAGTTATCCGTTGTCAGGCGCTCTCGGCTCCCTGGTTGGAGTGTGAAGGATCCGGAACACACAAAGCTGGAAACACGATCAAAGCACGGATGGATTCGCGGATCCAGATAGCTTTTCGGGAATCCACACGTCGTTAATTTTACGTTCCAAGTAATCGAGGCACATAAGGTTTGGTAAAAGAAATTAGATATATAACGCACAAATTTGCTAAAAGATATACAAGAGACCTGGCCCAACTGGGATTCGAAAAGCAATACTGACTAGACGAGAGATGGGTGATTGATGCAAAAGAGGGTTGGAAGAGATGTAGGCTCATTGGGCTCAGTTGTGAATAAATCAATTGAATCACAACAACTCCGGAAGGTAGGACGGAAGAACGAATATAACGAAGTCGGCGAAAATCCACGACTATGGGTTATTGATACAGGACATGTTTCTCGGCCGTAAGAAATTAAACAAGACACGACAAAAAATTTCTAGAACGTTCTGCGTACTTGTAAGTAATATGAGCGACAAGAAAAATGACGTTATGCTCAAGCTGCAATGTGGCTGGTAACGAACGTTCCAGCAGTAGGTTAGAGTACTGTCTTAAAATGAGCAATCTACCTTGGCTAACCGTATCTAGCCCACCGCCGTAGACTGAGCGCATTATAACAGGCCGGATAAAGCAACCAGACGCGGTGCAGAAAAAAAACGATGAGAATGTATGAAAGATCGAATCGTCCCGGTATAATTTTTGTTCCAGAGTGTGACAGACTCGACCAGATTACCTGTAGGAGACCAGGAAAGTGTAGTCGAGGAGTCTGTGATGATCCGGCATTCCGCCTTCCTAGATCTAGTGGACAATTGATTCGCTGTTACTGTGGCTCAAATCAAAACAGCAATGTTCAACACACTCCAGTCTAGAGTTCAACGGTAGTTAGTTTGCAAAGAGCAGTGGACGGCTACTCGGACACGAACACAACATCCATGTATACAAGCCACAATCAAGACGTCTAGTCATATGGTGGAAATATGTCATAAGAAGCTCAATAATCGTGAAACACCAAACATCGGGTGGGGAATCATAAGCAAGATTCGGTGTGGAGGAACTGAAGAGTATCAGTGCATGCACTGGATGGTAGAAGATAGAATCGTGAAGAAAATAACGGAATAGTTGTAACTACGATGTAAACTAGCCAGTAAAAATTGACAACACTTACTGGAGTCCGGATGTACCAGGGCAGCTGCAATCGGAATGAACCCGCAATCCAATTCGAATTGATGCAGCGGATGGCGCAGACGGTGAGGCTCAAATATGTGTACCTGCCCAATCAAGCCTCTCCCAGTGGGTTTGGGGGGCGTGCCAGAAGCGATTGGCTGTGATGGACCACGGCCAATTAACCACAAACAAGGCTGCCAAAATGGAGGACGAGGCGAATGACGGAAAGAGTGGTGGTAGATGAGGCAAAGTGGAAACTCAAAAATTATAGCAAGGGGAGATGGAATCCAAAAATAAATCCGTAAGACAGGGTTAATTTGAGGGGAGATGGTGATACAACCACGGAGAAAAGGGCATGCGATCCGCTGTCAGTATGAACGTGGAGCGCCAAAATATCCAGATCGACAATGTGTAGATGAATGGCTTCCAAGCTGGTAAAAAAAGCATGGGTTTATTTTTCAAGTAAACTGGCTCAAGCATTCAGGTAAACGAAGCTAAAAAAATAGCCTGTCAGAGCAAAAGCCTTAAACCTAATCAAGTTACATGGATAGTATATGTGCGACAAACTCACAACGTGGGACAACAAAGAACATAAACTGCACAACCTAGTGACGACCATAACAACGGTTAAATTCTAATCAACTCCTCGCTTTGAACACTACTTGTGCCGAAGTGATTTGCTTATTACATTGCCACTATGGATGCGAGCAAGCAGCCTACGGAGTAGTGGAACAAGTATGACGGTCACCAGATGCTACTCACTGGATCAGTGGCTAGTTCAAGAGCCCATAAAGCTGAATGGAAACATCGAGCAAGCTTGCTATCGTTTGACTCTCAATGAGCTGATCTGACTGATCGTATACCACGGTTCAAGTCAGCTCGCGTACTATCCGACTGGAACGGAAACGTATATCACTTACACTAAGCAAGACCAAAGTTAAGCTCCCCACACAAAATGTGCATTAGTCGCGGAGCACTTGGCGCAAGGAAAAACAATCCAACGGCGCCTGCCTGCTATATTCACATCTGCAACAGGATCTCTGTTGTCCTCGATGTGACACAGACATAAGGTGATTGCAGTAAATATGAAACTGTTCAATCTATTGTTGTTTCTCCAACGAGGAACGTGACGATCTGCAAACATCCATCCATCAAAGGGGTGACAGCACCAGTGATGAAGATTAACTTAAGTGAGTAAGTTAGAAAACTCATATTGATTTCACCTGGACGTTTATGGGCTGTACACCGTGGCGGCTTGGATCCCGCAACATTGACACCCGCCGGTGGCTTAGAAGTAATAGCTTCGGCCAATACTACAAAGGTCCCGAGTTCTGGTCACTGTCCTGCCATTTCTATACAGCGATTGTGAACGAATAGGAACTCGACCGTGGAACTCAGTATTGCGGAGGGTATCATGGAGTCAGATAGGATCAAAGTGATGGAAATGACCCAGGATCCCTTCAATGTCAATCGCGACCCACATTAAGATGGCGCGCCACAATGCACGCACACCGTTGTGACAAGTGTTCCCCGGCAGCGCTCCGTAACTTAGAGGTAGAGGCTTCGACTGACCTCCCAAAAGTCCCGTGTATAAGTGATGTTACAACTATCTGAGGAACACAAAGAAGGGGGAAATTTGTTGTGAAGCGAAACGTTGAGAACGAGCAAAATCTAATAAGCACCAATGAAAATCATAATTCCGGGAGGACAAACATAATTGAAAAGTTAACCGGAGTAGTGAAGTGTAGACCAAGGGAACACATGAGGGCGTCGCGTTTGACGGGCGGTTGAGCTAAATGCGCACGTCCAACCAAACATCTTGACTTGCAGCGAGGTTTTTCTACCACCTTGCGATTTCATCAACTAATCATGTCTGTGTTTCGCCCAACTTAGTGCGGTACTGGTAAACAGTTGCACCCAAGTGGTCACACATGCAAAAGAGGAAGCTAAATCAACGCGAGCTGGATCTTACTGACTTAAACGCGGAGTGGTCATACCTTATATCCATGCAGCAAAGAGGACCGCGTCGAAGAGTTAGTCGGTTCCCATATCATGTGCCTACACAAGTGACAGAGGTCATGAAAAACCATTCGAGTGCCCGTAATGTGTGTGATAAGTTTCCAACTAATGCGACCACCATCAGCGATACGCCTACAGAGATAAGCTGACTGGTCGACCAGGCCGAATGGCTGCTCCGGGAAGTATCGGTCCGACATCGAAGTCTCGCTGCTTGCAAGTTAGACGAGCAAAGGACATGCGGAAGAGTGCAGCGAATCCAAGTAGGTTACAAGAACCAGAGAGAGCTATGCCATCTGCGTACCCTACGAATGATACTCAGTCGCTGTCAGAGTGGCTATTCCAGAGGGCGTCAAAGCCATTTATGATCATTTCGAGCACAAGGTACCGATGCACTTAGCTTGTCTGTGAAATCAAGGGATAGGTTTCCGCACCCGGTCCTACAATTGGTGTTGTAAAAGTTTCAGAATAGACGGAACCGGTAAGTTGCTTCAAGAAAGGTAGAAGGCTTACAACGCGTTAATTGGAAGTATGATTAGGTTAATGACCAGTTATGCAATTAAACACTGGTGTGGGAACAACTTAACTCGATAGCGCAGTGGAAGTAGATAGGCACAGTGTATCAGTTTCATCGCTAAGCAAAGGAAACAATTCACAAGGTCAAAGTACCAAGGCATTGATTGAAGTGAAACATTTACCCACACAAATGATAGGCCTGTGGTGTGTGTGTGTGTGTGTGTGTGTGTGTGTGTGTGTGTGTGTGTGTGTAGAACTCCACAAACACCACTAATTCGTGCGAAGGGGAACTAATGTAACAGATACGTACATTCAAAGTTGGATTAACGGGCAACCGACCTACCAGAGAGTGGCAACCTTCAGCAGCACTGTGACCGTCAGGCACAACAAGTGCGGAGACGATCTAAGAGGAAAGGGAACAGGAAGGAGAGAAAAATAAATCCAATCTGGATGCGACGAAAAACCTCATTTGACGGTGAGCATGAGTTGACAAGTAAGATAACACAGAAGCTGAGGGGCGCGGGAGCAGCAAAAGAATTACGATGGTAATTTTGGTGAGGTATTCATCCCGATAACTCACAAGCTACATAGCACAGACTAGTGCGGAAAAGCATCAGACGCGTTTCGCCCCATTGAGGCTCGTCAGTGGTACGCATTCTCTCGGTCCCCTACTGGGGAGTGAACCCATGACCGCTAGAGGTAGATAACAACTAGCCAGCCGCTCAAGCCACTGAGCCATGGGTCTAGGCCATGTGGTCTAGGCCACACAATTCGCAAGCTAACTGGGATATAGCACGACCTATCTTCCACTGCCACGCAGGTTACTACCTTAGCAGATGACAGTAGCTAGCCTCCGAATGTCATGACTTTCACTGGACGCTACATCCATAGCATTTGAAACTAGGAGAGGCTAAATTTTATTTTACTAATGAGCAGGAGGATTTTAATTGTAATGTTTTCGTCTAAGCTGCTCACATGCAACATAGCACAGATAGTGCGGAAAATCACCAGACGCGTTTCGCCCTATTAAGGCGCGTCAGTGGTGCGCATTCCCTCAGTCCCTTAAGAGGGATCGAACCCATGACCGCTAGAGGCAGATGCCAACTAGCCAGCAGCCTAAGCAACTGGGAAATGGGGAACGTTGGCAGGGCTAGATAATTCGCAAATTAACTGGGATATAGCACCACCTATCTTCCATTGTCGTTGACAGTGGTTAGCTTGCGAGGTGATGACGTTCTCTCACTAGACGATGGTATTCAAGAAAGAGTTTTGTGGCCTGAAGAAATGATTAAAACTAGCTGTTTGCCAAAGATATTGCAGAAACTGTATAAACCACTGAGGTGAATGTGCGTAACGGAGAAAAAACCGCCGCGCAGCAAACCAACAAAAGAGGGGATCTGTCCCATGTCAGAGAGAGTATGCAAAAAGAAAATAATTGAGCAAGCGACTGCAAAATAAAGGGATTAAGTTGCTTATAGATAAGAGGAAATAGACCGGTTATTTCGTTGGTAAACATCACATAACTAAAAAACAGGAAAGGAAACAGAAAATATGTAGCTTGCGGTGCGATTAATTGTTGTTTATTTCCTATGTTCGTACACTGTGACAACAGAGTACTGGCTTATTTCATTACCTTCGCATAATTCTATAGACTGAAGCAAGGTAAACTAATGAACACCAAATGTGTATGTGTAGTGAGTAGATTTAGCTGAAAACATGTGCCTTAGTTAGAAACTAGTTCACCATGTCAATGTACCGGTAGGTTGTGTGCATGAAGATCGGTGTCAAACTCGAGGATTGTACACACTAACCTAATGTTGAGTACAAATCGATCTCATCATGACATACCACAGCATACACCTAGGTGATTATCCCTTTCTCGGACCACTGTTCCATCAGTGAACACCTGCGGAAACTAATACAACATTGTGGCATGAAGTGAGTCACATACTCGCTGAGCTGTGAGCGGTGTGGAAGTAATGTTTGAAATAGTTTATCTGTGCGCATACTGGGGGAAAAATCAGTACCGTAGCTTAACAAATTCCTGGATGCACATTTCGTGAACATTTGATACAGGTAACATTTGTCTACTGGCTTTCACATCATCCGATTGCAATTCCCTCAGAAAAGTGAAAAATTCACGAGCAAACATGAGGAACAAATGACCTACTGACAAATGAATGTCTTTAAGGTTTCAATCGAAGTGCAATCGAGTTGTACAAAAATAGAACATTCTGTACCTGCATAAAACCGGGGTTGGTGGGTGGTAATTGGTTGTAGACCAAGTGATATCGAATGAACTAAATGACGAAAAAACCGTTGAACGATTCAGTACAGACAGATTGGATTCGTAGCCGGTTCATTGGAACTGCGTATTGAATTACAATATGGATTACTGGGGGTGGCAGATTTTGTACACAAAAGTTGAAAGATGGAATTAGAACAGTGAACAAGGGACCAACAATGAGAAAAGTAGATTTAATCACAATTTTATTTAAAGCCTCGTCTAAGATACTAACGTAATCGTGGAGATAACTGTCTCGCGAGGTGCAGAATACACGGATAAGTTGTGCAGGATGTTCAGAAGCAGCGGGCTGTTTGCTAAAACTTCAGAGCGAAATAGGACTGATTTATATATTTACAAAATCTAACTAGCTGACCAGGAAACGGTGTGATACGCATAATAAGAATGGTTGAAATAAAAATTGATGATAAGATATCAACAGTTCGTAAGAGAGGTACCGGGAGAAGTCTTCAATTTGTCAACATGCTAAAATAAGCTGATAATTAATAGATTCTGGATCAAAATACGTAACTATTTCACGGTCTGCCTAAATAAACTACAGCAGTAAGAGACCGAAAAACAAAGCACCCGCCTCCAATCGGTGCCGGTGGATGCCTCCAATTGTGCGGCATTGGACGGGAACGGGAACGGGAACATTGCCAACACTTGTGTCTTTGTGGTTACGGTAATCCAATCCATTGCACCAACCACAGACAGGAGAGTCGGTATGTTTCCTTGACAAGGTGATCCATGAATGCGACGAAAAAGAGCTTAAAAAGCGATAAAATGAAATGAATTTTGGTTGTTAACAAATGCGTATTGTTGCAACAAGAAGCTATGTCAGGGTAAAAGATGACAGCTTTGTTCACTTAAGCAGGTGGATGATACAAGAAACATAAATGTACGACAGCCACCATCGACTAGTTCACAGCAAATGGAAATGACGGCAAAAACAATAACAGAGGAGAGGGAGTGTGCGTATAGAAATTAAAAGACAATGAGGGGCGAGATGGAAGGAAATGGTGGCAAAGGTATCTGCAGTAGGCTACCATCCGTGATAATATCATAGGATTAGTATGACAATAGAACCGTACGGATACTACCATCATTCAAAAGCCATCGGTTGTACGCAGGCCGAGGCACAACTAGGACGCCCAAACTTGGACGTGATCGCAGTGGATGCACGCTTGAATTATTGCACCATGAATCTCCAACTAAATATCATCTGTTCCAGAAAGCATACCGAACAGCGTTGCCTCTAAATGGAAGTATACGACCACATTAGCAGTTGCAAGGTCGTGGCACAGACCATTCAAAGTAGTCCGGAAGAGGATAAAAGAAGTTCAGTCCAGAAAAGAACACCACCTAACAGGAGGTTTAGTAACCAAATTACAGAGAATGGAGGAACGAAATATGATGAAACCATTCGTCATAACTCCCAATGTCAAGGAAAACAAAGCCAAATGACTATGATGGGAAGAAGGAGAGAAGGTAAAATCAATGGGTCGTAAACCAATGATGATCAAGTGGAATGTAAGCGACGAAATATCAAATGCAGAATGCTATAGAAATCAGAATTATGAGGCTTCTCCTAAATCCTCCAGAGTATGCGGTTGACCACAGTGCACTCGTGCAAGATGACCTCACAAGGAGAAGTAACGGAATCAAACAGTTAGTCGTTACATGGTCACACGCCCAATCGTCGAGGAGACTAAACACAACCATATGCCGCATTCATAGACAATACAGTGATGAAGAGATTGGTCATGAGAAGGTGACCAAACAGACGCAGATGGTTGAGGTGCAAGTGACCACCAAGTACGCATAACATGGTCAGTGGTCAAAAGGTAAAAACCCGTGAATTGCACAACTCGGTCGGAGTAGAGTGATCACAAGATAAAGAAGAAACTCCTGTACCCCTCCGGATGCAGCGTCATACATCTGAAGGGTTGACACTGTAACGTCAGACCACTCGAGTGTTAAAAAGTGATCAACGATCTCGATACTGAGGACGATGACAGAGTGAGCCAAACTATAATTCAGCCCCAACAAGAAAATGGTATGCAAGAAAAGAGCTCAAGTATTTCAAGGGAATTCATGCAACTGGTATCTAACGGCTGTCGCGTAAGAGTACTGTTATGCGCTAAACAGAAATATTGGTTAGATGTAAAGATGGCAAAAAAGACCATTGAGATAAGGCGATAAGTTCTAGTTCAAAAACATCCATTCCCATCGGATCGTGAGCGTTGTGAACAAAAGGCATCAGTAGCAAGCCTGCATGCAGTACCTGCACTTCGCTGCCACGCTCCAACACCGATTGCACGCGGATAAGGATATTGCAGGGTTGCTGCAGGCAACGCAGACTCGAACTCGCGCCGTCAGATTACAAGACAACTCTGCTAGTTTTAGGCTATGGGCCGTTGTGAACACAGTGTATAGAGCTTCATCCAACCACAGAAACAAAAATGACACGATTAAATGTATGCGAATTTTATCGGGCATCCACCCAGTTGACCAGTAGCATGGACTATGCGCTCCCATCGCAAGAGATAACCCGATGGCTTAAGACATACAATAATTGTGTTGAAAGCATAACCCGTAAATCGTTATCCCCTATTGCTGCGTATCAAACTATCCACAAACTCCTATGCTGAATTGTGTGATCTGTAACTCCTGACATGTCTGAAAGAGATGGCTGTGAGTGCCTTCGAAAGGCGTTGATCACCGCAGATACGAAGAATATGGATAAAAGAAAACCATTGGACTGTGTTAAGGCTCCGCATAATAGCAACCTTTGGCAGTTCTCGGTTTAATCATCTAGTAACTAGAGAGCTACACGGTTCTTCTTGGAAGTATAGAACAATGCCTGATTGTAATTGCGATGCCGAGAAGTAGGGAAGTGGGTGTGATACGAGCAAAACCAGTAAACACTGCTTAATCGTAACATAAGAGAACATGCGCTTACTCGTTTCAGCCATCAAACTGGTAATACAGTGAAACCATCGTAAGTTGACAACTCAAAGGACTGGATTAAAGTGTTCAACTAAGAAGTCTGGATCCATAAGTATTACAAGCAATAAAAAACGCCGTCAACTTAGTGAGATAGCCATAATTTAAAGGTGGCCAACTTTGGAGGTTCTGATTTAATATGTTTCCTGGGACGAGGAGAAGATGAGGGAACCGTCAAGCAGCCGGATTATTCAATATGTAATAAGAAGAACGAACCCGTGGAAGTGAGGAAAAATCATGCAGAACTATTATTTACAGATAAAAGAAGTAAGGGAGGCTTACGTAAATTTTGTCGAATTTCTGGTTGGTGTGATCGATCCGTCTTTCCCGGAATCTTGGCGTTGAGCAGACGCGAGAGCACTGAAGCTATGTGAAATAACAGAGTGAAATTAGTTTGGGATGCATGGCACGACAATGAGAATTCCAACGCGTTCGTGTCGATTAGGTTAGATGAGAAAAGAATACTTCTCGTAAACATGATTGCTGTTAGCCAGAAAAAGCGAAAAACAATATAAACCAAAAAAGTTGCGGCAATATGACGCGTTACGGTTTCTCCAGGAGAAGGTAGAAATAATAATACATGCGAGTGGCGCACCGCAGAAAAAGCAAATTGATTCGCAGGAACAAAACTACCTGACTGCCACGCACAGGAGTAGTGTTTGGCCGTTATTGCAAAAGGAGAAGTATTTTAAGCTATTTCTAAGTAAAAACTGGTAAACATTTGCAAATGGAGGAATTCACAGAAGCAGGCGGTGCGCATGATAGAATCAGAGGAGAGAATAATAAAGGAATGGAAGCGAAAGCAGAGACAAAGTAGATCTACGGAGGAACAATGCATCATGGAATGAAAGCACGCATGACCATCGTAGACCTCAGACATTGGCGAAGCCCAGTACAAGATATGTCACGTGACAGCCTAGGTAGTTGATTCTCCAATGGTAAACATATGATGTGCGTGACGCGTCAGAAAAAAAGGTTGTTTCACTGCCACCTAGTACATGAAAAGGAGGCGAAAGATCACGATTTGTAAGCAAAACACCTGTGAGACACACGTGAAGAGAGTGGTGAACAGTCGGTGTGCAGAAGACTGCAGCCGAAACGGCAAAACAGCGTGCAGCAAACTAACAGGGTTGAAAAGATTGAGAAATTCAAAAAACGAAAATAATGAATCTACGAAAACACCAAAGCAATTCCGTTAGGAGAGGCACCTCCAAACGAATCGACCGGTGGCGCCTGTTTTCGACAAGAACCAACGGATTCCTCCAAGATTTCTTCAAACAGTCTCGTTTATCAATGAAAAGAGGAAGACGATTATCAAGGCTAACGGTTAAAGAGAAATTCATGTTAGGTAAAATAGCTAAAGAACTCATACGACAGAAAAGGTTCCGGATAAGGAGTCATTCAGGACGGTAAAGATGGGTTTTCCATACCAGTTGGATTTTTCCTGTGGTCACTTATGTAATATAAGCATTACGGACAGATAAAATGTTGTCTTCGTTCGAAATTGAAGTAATAATTAATCCTGTAAGCAATCTCTGGCCGCCGAAAAAACGAGTAAAGTTGGTGAGGATTGGGTTTGGAGCGGTGCCTAAGCTAACATATACGGCCAACTCCCAAGAGTGAACGGTGAGGGTGCGGATTTTGCGGACAGAGTTCGACACATCAAGTCAAAAGAAAGCAGTGGAAAATGCGGGTGAAATTTTGCCCAAGACGTGTACACTGAACGGGTAGCGTCAGTAAAGTCATTCACCAGAGTGGCACTCGTTTCGTGATGGCAGACAGGTGAATCAAATACTTCAAGGAAGATGAAAGGGACAGACATCGCAATCCATCAGTTTTAATTGATACTCTTCGAATATCCGTGAAGTCTATGGGGAAAGGTAAATTAACATTGGAGTAAAAAATGCGATACTGAGGAACAAAAAAAGTACACAATGCGTAAGCAGATTTATGAAAAAGGCTGTCACGTATTGTTCAGCCAGTGAACCATGGAGTTTGTGCACACAATCACACCCACTTTTATCTCCAGTTTAGATTCTCACCAAGGCACATACAGTCTCAAGGCAGCTAATTTCCTGCACTAGACACTCAACGATCCTCTGTTCTAGTTTCCCTTGTGCAATCTCGTAGAGCTTACCCCCAGCCTAATGCTGTTGCATCCGTTTCCGAGGCGGTTAAATCAATGGAACTACATAATGTTCATATCGCAGTCCATCAAGTGAACATAAGGACTTGGATCGAAGTAGCATTCGCTGTAATGCAGTACCATCTTAAGCAGATCATCACGAAATGCATGTGGAAATGTGCCACAGTGAAGCCGCAGATAATCAGAGACGCTGTGAGCTCCCACGAGTGAGTACAGTAACTAGTGGCTCAGCAAGGGAAGCCGATGTGATTAGCCAGCCAGTACGAAAAAAATGTTTATTTTCTGTATTTTGAACAACGAAATGAGAAGACGAATATTGGTAGATGCTAGCATTTCGTATTATCTCGTCAGTACCAATACAATAACTGGGAAATCCTTTTATATGTCCTACAGGGTACAGTCAAACCAATCAAATTTATTGTTGTGGTCATTGTTGTCAAATTAGGTCCACGGCAACCGCAGGTTGACAACTAATTGCTTTTGGACACACAAAGCTGGTCTAATTCGGCTTATCGCGAGGGCCTCGGCAAATCGTAAAAGGCGTGCATTAGTATGACGTAACAAGATCCGGAAAGTTGATAAGGGATTGACCTGGTGACGAGTCGCCAAGATGTGCCTGCCTATGGAGGACGCTGGTGGCTTACGCGAACACGTATCATTGGAGGTGGATTGGGTAACTTCGCGCTGAACCCAGTTTGGTAGGTGTTCCTTCACTCGGGAATCTAAAACCCGTTCGGTCCTGCCGATGCAACTGATACCGCAGTCACACACGAATTGGTAGACACAATGGGATTTGGCGCCGACGGGTTCATCTTCCTTTACTGAAGGTAACGGCAACTTTCGGGTTCTGTTGATAATTACCGCCTCCGCAGCACAGTATGTACGCTGAATGGCCGAGACAATCCGTTTGGTTATCCTTTTCGTTGCAGTGTCACCCTTGAATGAGAGCTCAATGTACACCTTCTTCTTAGGGGCTGTCAACACCATCTCCTTGGGCGGTCTAACTTGGCTATGTTTATCTATGAATCGCTTTGGGTAGCCATTCTCCATAAGTGTCTTAGTGATCAGCTCAAACTCTTCAGCCAGGCAGTCGTTGGAGCAGATACGTCTGGCCCGAGTGAATAATGTTTTTATTAGCGCGCGCTTGTGTGCCATCGGTGAGAAGCTAGTGAAGTGTAGATATTGGCCGGACCACCTTGGCTTCCGGTATAAAGATCGCTTAATCAGCCCATTATCCCTACGACTCATGAGAATGTCGACATAAGGAAAAACGCCCATTCGATTCGAACTCGAATGTCACATTCAGGTTGGCGTGAACATTATTAAATTGATCTACTAATTGTTTGATTTGCATCTTTGTGGAACCGAAAACAAAGATATCATCCACGTATCGTTTGTAATAGGGCAGCTGGGAAATCTGTCCACTTAGTTTCCTCTCAAGCATCAGCATGAAAAAATCAGCCAGTACCGGTCCCAACGGACCACCCATAGCTACTCCGTCAATTTGGCGATACGTGTTGTGGTCGAATCGGAAAGCGACATTCTCCGTGCAAAGTAACAGGGACTGTCTCAGGAGGTCTGTCGGTATTGGTAGACGGAAATTCTCCTCTTCTATCAGGTGGCAAATGTAATCAACCGTCTCAAGCAAGGGGACATTAGTAAATAACGATTGGACATCCACTGAGCACATAACCTTGTCGACTAGACTGATTTGGTCGAGGTCTTCAATTATTTCAAAAGTGTTCTTAATGCTGTGCAAATTGTAGTGCTGCCTCAGTGGTGCAAGGATCCGAACTAACCAACGAGCCAATTTGTGCTGCGGGGAATTTACCATGGACAAAATGGGTCTTAGTGGCATGCCCTGCTTGTGAGTTTTTGGTAACCCGTATAGCTGTGGTGTCGAGGAACCGCTCGGCTTCAGGTGCTTATAGGTGGTTTCATCAATTACACGATGTAGGAGAAGCGTTTCAAGATGTCGGGTTATACGGGCCTCTACTTCTGTCAGACATTCTATCTTGTCGGTGCGTTGAAACTTGCTTTCATCACTTAGAACGCTTAGCATTTTTTGTACGTAAGCACTCTTGTTCATGACAACTGCTCCTGAACCTTTGTCCGGCTTAAGTACAACCACTCCCTTATTTCTCAGCTCTCGTAGTGCTTTTAGATGACGGCTTGTAAGCGCACACTTTTCGTTTACGGGTACCATGAGGACTTCATAAGCAATGTCGGTCAGCTTATTCCTAAAACAACTGACAGCATCAGGACTGGTTGACTGAAGTTCAGCTACTTGGTCGAAAAAGTTCTCAAACTGTGCTTCAACAAATAATCGATTCAGCTTATTGGGAGTAACTTTGTAATCTATCCCTAAGGCTAGTGCTTCTAGCTGCATACCATCAAGCTGTATGTTTGACATATTCATGACGTACTTACCGAGATCACGTGTAACGGGTTGGTCATTTGCTTCCAACATGGTCCGGCCAATATCTACACTTCACTAGCTTCTCACCGATGGCACACAAGCGCGCGCTAACAAAAACATTATTCACTCGGGCCAGACGTATCTGCTCCAACGACTGCCTGGCTGAAGAGTTTGAGCTGATCACTAAGATACTTATGGAGAATGGCTACCCAAAGCGATTCATAGATAAACATAGCCAAGTTAGACCGCCCAAGGAGATGGTGTTGACAGCCCCTAAGAAGAAGGTGTACATTGAGCTCCCATTCAAGGGTGACACTGCAACGAAAAGGATAACCAAACGGATTGTCTCGGCCATTCAGCGTACATACTGTGCTGCGGAGGCGGTAATTATCAACAGAACCCGAAAGTTGCCGTTACCTTCAGTAAAGGAAGATGAACCCGTCGGCGCCAAATCCCATTGTGTCTACCAATTCGTGTGTGACTGCGGTATCAGTTACATCGGCAGGACCGAACGGGTTTTAGATTCCCGAGTGAAGGAACACCTACCAAACTGGGTTCAGCGCGAAGTTACCCAATCCACCTCCAATGATACGTGTTCGCGTAAGCCACCAGCGTCCTCCATAGGCAGGCACATCTTGGCGACTCGTCACCAGGTCAATCCCTTATCAACTTTCCGGATCTTGTTACGTCATACTAATGCACGCCTTTTACGATTTGCCGAGGCCCTCGCGATAAGCCGAATTAGACCAGCTTTGTGTGTCCAAAAGCAATTAGTTGTCAACCTGCGGTTGCCGTGGACCT